TCATCCTGAGGATCCTTGGCAGGCCCAGCATGGGCCCTCTTGGACTGAGTCCCAGAGGATTCCCCCTTCTGCTGATAGGGCCTCTTCCAAGTGTCAGAATGTTCTTATCTAGCCTGTAGTGGGGTGCTCTATAGCGAGTACAACCCTGTTAGGGTTTGCTATATGTATCCCAACTGCTGCTAGTCAAACCCTCTTCTCTCTTCTAAAATTTTCATGCTATCAGAGCAGGTCGATCCCCTTGGATCGATCCTGTGGGTAGGATCACCACCTCGTTGCTTCCGCTGCAACTCCTACTGCTACTCTCTGTGCCGCACGCCCCGAGGCGTGCGGCAGTTTTTTCTTCCCGCCGTGCGCCCCGAGGCGCGCGGCGGTTTTCTGCTCGCCGTGCGCCCCGAGGCGCGCGGCGGTTCTCTGCCCGCTGTGCGCCCCGAGGCGTGCGGCGGGCTTCTGCCCCGTCACTCGGCGCGTCGCCCTCAGGAGGCACTGCGACGGGCGACGGGGACCCGCGCGTCGCCCTCGGGAGGTGCTGGGACGGGCGACGGGGACCCGCGCGTCGCCCTCGGGAGGCGCTGCGACGGGCGACGGGGACCCGCGCGTCGCCCCCCGTCGCCGCTCCTATCGGCCCCGTCGTCGTCGCCAGCGGCCCCGTCGCCGTCACTTGCTGCCCCGGCCCCGCTCCCGCCACGCCTCGTCGTCAGCCGCGGCGCACCGGGGGCACGTGCACCCCCCCCCCCCCGTGACCTCCCTACCCGCCATCCCGCCCTGCCATGTGTTAGGGTTTGGGGGTGGCGAGTATGGGGGTGGCAGTTGTGCATTCCTCCCTTTGCTCCTCCTCCTCGTTCGTCTCCCACTGGTGCAGCTGTCGCTGAGGGGGGTGGATGAGTGGGAGACTGGGGTTTAGGGTTTAAGGGGGGTGCGTGTGAGTGGAGCTAGGGTTTGGGCAGTGGGCGTGTGCTGAGAGTGTGGGGCAGTTGGGGGAGGTTGAGTGGAGGCACCAGTCTTGTCGTCAGCAGCAGCAGCAGCAGTCTGGAGGCTACAATCTCCGGTAGTCGCCAGTCGCCCGTGGATCCGTTGCTCGTCTGCCGCTACTTTTAGCCGCGGGGCCAGTTACTCCAGTATTCCAGAGCGCTGTTCCGGTAGCCACTGAGCCAGCAGCTCGTCTGTGTGTCTGCAGCGTCAGCAGTCGCCTCCCATCTTCTATCCCCCACAGCTCCTCCTCCTCCTCACTTGTCCGCTGTGATTAGCTCTAGCTTTGCTTACATTTCTGAACTTTAAACTGTTGCTTCTTGTACTTGTGCTCAGAATGTGTGGTGACATTGTGATCCACCCTGAGCTTGTTCTATGCCTGCTTGCTCTGCTGATTACACCCCACTTTGGCTATGGGGGTGTGTCAGAATGTTCTTATCTAGCTTGTAGTGGGGTGCTCTATAGCGAGTACAACCCTGTTAGGGTTTGCTATATGTATCCCAACTGCTGCTAGTCAAACCCTCTTCTCTCTTCTAAAATTTACACCAAGAGCCACTGCCCCTGTGTGCCTGAGTCCTGTTACCACCCCCCCTAGGGCCTTCGGCACTAGGCTGCTGCTGAGCACGAGCGTGAGTCATGTACGCACGGAAATTCACATCCGTGTCAATGACCTGCTCCTTGCACTCCTTGTAGGTCCTCCACTGGTGCTCCCCACGCACAACATGCACACGCTTGATATGTTCAGGGAGTCCCTTGAAGAACTGGTGGATGACCTCGCTCTCAGGAAGAGCCGTCTTCAGCAGCGACAGAGTTTTCTCAAACTCCTTGGCGTACTCGCGTACAGGCTGGTCACCGCACTGGATGTTCTCCAGGCGGCTACGCACCTCAAGCGCCGGGGGCTGACTCAGGAATGCCGCCAGCATGGCAGCTTTGAACTCCTCCCAGCCAAAAGGATGGCCATTAGCCTCTGCGTGGCACTTGTTGGCATACACCAACTTGCTCGCAGTGTCGTCCAGGGCAAGGGTCGCAGCGACCACGCGAGCCTCGCTACGCACGTTGTGGATGGACATAAAGTCCTCCGCAATGGAGAGAAAAGTCTCAACGTCAGTTTTGCCATGGACAAAACGAGGCAGGGCCGAAGGGCAGGAGCCAAAAGCAGTTGCTGCTGTAGTAGGAGGCTCAACACGTGCTCCAGTAGGAGGGGGAACAGCAGAAGGAGCATCAGCAGGTGCAGCCCGGCTGTTAGCGGCGTTGGCAACTCGCTCTGCTGCAGGAGCAGGCTGGTAGAGGTTTCCACGCGGGATCTCCCTGTACTGGGCCTGAAGCACAGAGATGTGTTTCTCTTGCTTCTTGAGCTGATCCTGCACGAACAGGAGAGTAGTCTGCAGGTCCTGAATGAAGCTGGAGGTGTCGTTCTCCTTAGGGATCGACTGCACCTCCCTGGTCAGCTGCTCAATCAAGGCCTGAAGCTTAACAGAATCAGCCTCCAAGTTCTGGATGCGGCACTGTTGCACTCCAATGAGAATATTCTGCTCCGTGAGTTGAGTCTGGAGCTTGACAGCAATGTTCTGAGCTTCATTGGAAACACCCTTATCAGAGCCAGCCTCATCCTCATTTTCAGCATCAGCCTCAAGGTCAGCTTCACTTCCATTAATCTCCATGTCAACCACAAAGTCCTCAAGGTTTAGATCAATGTCAGCAGCAGCAGCATTATCTCCCTCATTGCCAGCAACGGGCACCTCCTTAGTACCATCCATCTCTTGACCAGAAGCCATGAAACAGGTTAAGGAGAGGAGATCTCAACAGATCTTATAATAATCGTTAAGAAATCTGATTACCCTTATAGAATAATCCAATACAGAATCTCTTAAGATTGATTTGTTTGCCAAATCTCTCTATCACCTCAATGGTAGAGCAAGATATACTCAAAAGAGTAATCCTCAACAAGTCCTTGTGGATCTGAAGATACACTCTTCTACCAAAGGTAGATTAGAGTCTTCCACCAAAGGTGGGTAAGAGAAATGAATCTCTTCAAATTTCTTCACAATGTTGATGAAGAAGGGGAGCTCCTTGTAGATCTTGTAGCTCCAATGGTGGTTTGAAGAAATTGAAGTAGAAGATGTAGATGTTGAAGATGGTTTTGTAGATCTTGAAATTTCTTCAATATCTTCAAGATCTTGATAGCTCCTTAGATGAAATCCTAGATCCACAAGCCAGGATCCTCTTAAAAAAATAATCCAAGGAGCAAATGGCCACACAAGGCCAAGGAAGAACCTTGCTCTAGATACCAATGTAACACCCAAGGCTATTATAATGGAGTTACAATGCTTTTATAATAAATCTCAATACAAGTTGAAGCTCTAACTAGCTCCCAATAGCCTTGGAGGTGTCAATCTTCTTGAAGGAGTTGTTGAAAATGCTTGAGAGAATTGTGTAGGAAGGCTCGTGAGAGAGCTCTCAATGACTTAGGCAAAACAATCCCATTTCCAATTGTTTAGTTGGAGTGGGAGGTTGAGAATGAGCTTGCTTAGCTCAGACCCCCTCAACACACCCCTTGGGGAACTATCCCAACCATGGTTTCCATGGTGGGATGGTTCCTAGGCTTGGAGCCTATGTGGCAATTGTGTTGGGTTGGAAAACCCAACTTAGAACCATTCAATGGTTGTGTTTAGGATAGAGTAGATTGTAACACTTGTTTGGCAGTTTCTGATTGGTTGGAATTCCAACCTTCAACATTCTCTTGGTTGAGTTGGAAATGTTCCAAACCTCCAAAGTTGAGGCTTGGCAAACCCAAACCAAGTTTCATCCCAACCAACTCAACCATCTTCTCCAACTCTTCCTTTGTCGAGAGAAGTTCTCAACAATTGACTTAGAGAGAGATCGATGGTTGTTAGCTCGGTAGTTAGGGTAATACATTACAGCGGGTGTGGGCTGTTGCAGCAGCGTACTGCTGTGTGTGCAGTCGATGCTGCGCATTCGCAGCGCTGCATGCGTGGCTGCTGCCGCGTGTGCGCTGCTGCTATAATATGCATGCGGCTGAGGCTGCAGCGTGCGTGGCTACTGCTGTGCGTGCGCAGCTGCTGTCGTGTGCGTGGTTGGTCGCGGTGTGTGCGCTGCTGCGTGCGTAGCTGCAGCTGCTCGCGCGCTGCCTTTGCGTGCGTGAGTGGTTACAGTCGCGTGCGCGTCCGCTGCGGGGTAATATGCGCGCATGCGATCTGGCTAGCTGGTGTGCGCCCTGACATAGTGTTATATCCTATACTATGCATCTCACTGCACCCTTACATGTCTAACACAGATATAAACACAATTTGACAGGTACTTTGTATGTTAATAAAGCAAATGCAGGGATATGTTTTGCAACACAAGGATAAGATTTCCGAATCGAAGTGCTTTTATGACCTAGACAATTATGGACAATATATGGTTTACTGGGTGAGTTTGGGAGGCTTTCACGGACTAGGCGAATAAGTCGTGGATAACGAGATTCATCATGTTGCGGATACAGTTCATAAATTCGATCAGCCCTGTTGTTTGTCACGATGTACAATCAGCCGCAAGAGGCGCTTGTTCCCTCGATTTCCCCGCTCGTGGTCAGCCAGTTACAGTTCCCCACGGGATTAGCAGCACCAGTGCAATGACTGGCCACGCGCCAGCTTCCAACAAAGGCAACAGAGTCACTTCCCGAGCCTCGACGATTTTTAATTACGTCATTCGGAAGGACGAGAAAAGTGCGGCGCGGTACGGGGAAAGAGCCGATGTTCGTCCTTGCGGAGCATCGTAGGATTCAACGGCCACGATGACGTGTCGTTTGATGGGAAGTTGGGGGGAGGGGAGGGTCAGGGTGCGGGGAAACGGTGGATGGGGAAAAGGGGGTTGGGCAAGGTGGAAGGCGCGGAGGGAACACAGCGGCTTAGGGGCGACGGCTTGTCGAACCCGTGGGTGCGTCTGTCTCGGCCGCTCTTCCGCCTGTCTTCCCCCCCCTCCCGCATCCCGCTTCTACGATCAACGCGATGCAACAGGGCTGCTGTGACCGCATGACGGGGGTCGTGACGTGGCATGGTGAATGCCGAGACGACGAGCGTGGAGAGAGAGAGAGAGAGAGAGAGAGAGAGAGAGAGAGAGAGAGAGAGAGAGAGAGAGAGAGAGAGAGAGAGAGAGAGAGTTTAGGGGTCTGCCTACTCACCCCACTCCTCCACCTGGCAGCCAATCCCAACTCGACCGCGGGGTCTTTCAGCTCCTCGCCTCCCTTCCTTTTCGTCCACTCTCCCTTCTCCCCCTTCCACACGCACCGGTAACCACTCCCATCCCCCTTCTTTATTCAACCCTCCTCGCCCTTCATCTCCCCTCCTCTACCCCACTCCACTGGCAACCCCTTTCGCTCATTCTCGCCTCCTCCTTATCCGGCATAGCTTACAAATCAGAGTGTCCCAACAATCCACCTCGTCCACATTCACTTCAGCTGCCTGTTCTTGTGTGATAAACACAAGCTCGTATGGAAATGGCCGCCTGAAGAGAATATGTGCTATCTCGGAAATCACTCCAGCTTTGTACCGGTAGCGCCGTGCGATCAAACCAAATGATGGTCTAGACTTTTCCCCCGAAATCCTCACCAGGTAACGACCATCACTCAACTTCGTAGCGTTGTATATACCTGAGGAAGAGAGCCTTCGTCCATAATCACGTACCCATGGTAGTCGTTCTTCCTCGATATGCGAGTCGGCCATAACGCGGTTTGACCACCGTCCATAGAACTTCTCCCCACGCTTGTTTGTGTATAAACAACCCGTGTCCTCCACACCATCCATCACCTTTTCCCCTCGCCCTCTCCATTTCGTCCTATCTCCACCTGTTCCTCTTGCTCCGCCTACCTCTCCCGCTCTGGTCGCTAAAAATGAGCGAAATTGTTAAATTTTTTGTGACTCACTTGCTTTGAACCCAGCGAGCAAACATTTCCAGTTTCATGCATCCCAAATGGTAAATATTTTTTATTGGATGCAATGATGATGCTAGGAGAAGTGTGACAAGCTGATCAGTTAGGTAAGGTGAAAAGGGGAAAGGCCCTTTCATGTTTCTGTCTAATTTCTAAATCTGATCAATCTATATTTGCCTTACTGAACAAAATATTTGTACACCTGTCATCGAATTCAGGCCAGGGCCCTAGATACCAAACTTTGTAGTCTGATTCAGAGTCCGTTCAGACTTTTTTTTTGTGCCTAGTCTGAAGTCTAAGAATATCTTTATGTACCTTGTCTGATTTTTCAGAGTTTTCCTTTATGAGTTGTCTGAAATTTCAGCCTAATTTTATTAGTGTAGGCTGAGCCTCATACTTGTATCGGGGGTGCCCCCTGAAACCCGTAATACAGCGGTTTCCGCCAGCCTGGTGGCGTGTAACACTCACTGTCGATCACGGGCGGGAAACCAAAATTTCCCGAGCGCGGCACCGCAAACTCCCGAGCAGGGTCCTTGCTAGGTTTTGAACCCCCCTGATGCGTCAGATGGGCCCATCGGGCACACGCTTGCTTTGTCACACCACTTTTGCCCTCTATCACACCGAAGAGTCAACCAGTCAGGGCAAAAATCCGCCCTGTCAAGGAAGAGATTCGCCCTGCCTAGGGCGAAGTGCGAAGGTTCGCCTTGTACAGAGCGAAGTGCGAAAATTCGCCCTGTCAGGGTGAAGATTCTAACTGTCAGGGCGAAGATTCGCCCCGCCTAGGCAGAGATTTGCCTTGTCAGGGTAGAGATTCGCCTTGTCAGAGTAGAGATTCGCCTTGTCTCTGAACGTGTTTAACTCTGAACAGAAATTTTGTTTAACTCTGAACGTTCAGCGGAAAAAACGTAGTGTTGTCTGAATTTCCAGACTAGAAAAAATAGGTAACTCTAACAGCCAGACTAGGAAGAGGGGTGTACTCCGAGGCGTCAGACTACCTCAAAACGAATCTAGGGGCCTGCTTTAGGCATTCAAAGCTGGTGCACGCAACCAAAATGCAGTTAGAGGTGGTCCGTGGTCGCCCCCGACGGCTTTCCACCATCTGAGCATTTGCGGGTGAATCTTGGGGGACTCTGATAACGTTGTGGCGGAGTTCCGAATGCTTTTGCCTCATGATCCGAGGCCTTGCATCCGTGTGCTCCGGATTCCGAAAGGCTTGGGCGGAAGGCTCCGCCGCATACGACAAGGCCAGCCGCTCACAATTCCGCGCCCACCTGACCGTGAAAACTGTGCTCCAACGAACCTGCCCGTGACCGTTTGTGCCTGCGATGTTGGTCGCGAAAGACATTGTTCGCCATCGTAACTCTTTGGCCGACAAGTGACGATCGCCGTGTGAAAATGAACGAGAATGAGAATGACTAAGGGAAAGTTGGGTACAAGTACAAACCCTAGAAAGCTGTACCCCATATGTGCTACCCCACTATAGCCTACAGTAGCTATGTCATATAAATCTGACACACCCCCATAGGCAAAGTGGGGGAGAACAAGGGGTCACAAGACCAGTCAAGCAAAGCAAAGCAAGCTCAGAGTGGATCACAAAGTCACCACACTCCCATTGCCATTGCCATCGCCCTTCCCATCGCCGTTCCCATTGCCATTCCCATTGCCGTTCCCATTGCCGTTCCCAATGCTGTTGCCATCGCCATCCCCGTTCCCATGCCATTTCTGTTATACGTTGGCAGATACGCGTATCACGTATAATACGCTAGCGTATTATACGCTGGGTATATACGCCATACGCCATGGCTGGCGTACTGCTGATACGCTAAAATACGCTGGGCGGGCAGGAAAAAACTTTTTCCCGGGCAGATTTCGCCCTCGAACTGTAGGGAGTAGGGGTCGCCATGGCGAGGAAGTACTAAAGCTAGGAGAGTACTGCCTACAACCAAATCGCCAGTGCCCCCAACGCTGGTGGTAGTGGACAGAGAGGCGAGAGGGTCAACAGGCAAGGGCTCAGCTATGGTGGGCAAGGGCTGGGGTGTGGTGGTGGTCGAGCTCAGCAGGCTGCGATGCCTGAAAATGAGCGAGGGGGTTCCCATGGCGCCGCTTGCAGCTTCAGACACTATGGTTTCACTTGCAGCTATCCCCAGCGGATTGTCATGAGATGCCACCGCCAGGGATGTTCCTGTAAGGGTAGTGTTGGTAGCGTTAGAGATGACTCAGGTGTAGCTGATGAAAGCTCTTACACAATTATGGGAAATCTTAACACGAAATCAGCCTTAACATGCAATAGAGACCCAGAAGAGAAACGAATCGCATACCGCCGAATATATCTCAGCGGACAAGCGAGTCCGCCCAGGGGAGCTCGCTGCCCGCGGGCAAAAAAAAATAAACCCCAGAAGAGCATGCATCCGGTCAGGGAGGCATCAACCCTAGACACAGGGAGGCATGGATTTAGGGTTGATGCCTCCCTCGGATGGCATGCCATCCAATAGGGTTTTAGTTTTTTTCTGCCTGGGGCAGCATGTCGTCAAGTCGTCAGAGGGTCGTCAGGCTTGACGACCCATTTCCGCTGAGATATTCCAAATTGATGCGTAGACAGTTAAGGTAGATTAGAGAAGACTCACCCGAGAGAACCAGCGCGAAAAACAGCATCAGAAACAACCAGACGAAGCGCAGAGGCAGGTTGGACGATGCAGCGACAGTCATGGCGGTACTCTGAGACCAAGAGCTCAATTTGACTGAAGTGAAGCTCGAATGACAAGATTTTCAGCTACAAAAATTTGGTTCTATCGCCAACTGAGCTGACCTGAATTGAACGAAGACCGAGTCCTTCAATTTGTAGTTGAGAGACGTGTCAGAACATTATAGCTTACTTATTTGTGTAGGCTATAGTGGGGTATCCCATAGGGGGTACAACCCGATTAGGGTTTCCTATATGTACTCACTTCATTCATAGTCATTTCATTCTCGTTCAACTCTTCTCATGGTATCGAGCAGGTTCCCCTGTGGGAACTGCGCCTAGGGCCCACCACTACGAACCTTTTTTTTTCTGCCCGAAGCGCGCTCATCGCGAGTCGCGCCTCGGGCTATTCACTCAAACAGCCGCCCCAGCGGCAGTCCCTCCCCTAGCGGCCCTGCCGCCCTACTGTCGCGGCCCCGCCGCCCCTGCTTTCGCGGCCCCGCCGCCTTGATTTCGCGGCCCCGCCGCCCTACGATCGCGGCCCCGCCGCCCTGCTTTAGCGGCCCCGCCGCCCTACGCTTCGCGGCCCCGCCGCCCTGCACTTCGCGGCCCCGCCGCCCTGCACTTCGCGGCCCCGCCGCCCTGTTTTAGCGGCCCCGCCGCCCTACGCTTCGCGGCCCCGCCGCCCTATACTTCGCGGCCCCGCCGCCCTACGCTTCGCGGCCCCGCCGCCCTGCACTTCGCGGCCCCGCTGCCCTACGCTTCGCGGCCTCGCCGCCCCGCTTCAACGGCCCCGCCGCCCTGCGCTTCGCGGCCCTGCGCTTCGCGGCCTCGCCGCCCGACTCTGCTGCGGCCCCGCCGCCCTACACCTGGGGCCCCGCCGCCCGTCTGCTGCGGCCCTGCCGCTCTCCTCTCCTGCCGCGCCACCCGAGCAGCCGACAGCCGCGCCGACGAGGAGAGCAGCCGAGCCGCCCAGCAGCCGAGCCGCCCAGCAGCCGAGCCGCCGAGCAACCGAGCCGCCGCGCCGCCAAGCAGCCGAGCCGCCGAGCCGCCGTGCCGCCCACCAGCCGATCCGCCCGTCTGCCGAGCCGCTCGACCTGCCCTGTCCGGTGAGCACAGCCCCACTGTCACTGCGTGCCCTTCCCCTAATGCTTGCACTGCTAGTCTCTCGTCGTCATGGCTACCCCTAGTGTCCTCACTTTTGACGCTGAGGGTCGAGCCATTGACGTTGAGGTCTCGGTCGACGACCTGCTGCTGTTTTTACAGTGCCATAGGGCGGACGGCCTTTCTCTCTTTGACCTCACCTCTGGCGCCTCTCCTGCCCCTGCTGCTGATGCTGACCCCACTGTTCGCTCTCAGTGGGCCACCCGCGATGCAGCTGCACGTCTTGCTGTGCGTCGCCACCTGCCTACCGCTGAGCGCGCGCACTTTAGTCAGTACAAGAGTGCTCAGACCTTGTACGACGCTGTAGTTGCGCGCTACTCTTCCCCTGCCACTGCTGCACTGAGCCGCCTCATGCTACCCTTCCTCTTCCCTGACCTTGCCGCCTTTCCCACAGTCACTGATCTCATTACGCACCTCCGCACTAGTGACACCCGCTACCGCGCTGCGCTTCCTGCTGACTTCTGCGCCAAGAACCCCCCCCCCCATGTACATCACTCTCTACTTTCTAGTCACCCGCCTCCCTGACTCCCTTCGTGTAGTCCGGGACCACTTCCTTGCGGTCTGTCCCACCACTCTCACAGTCGACAGCCTAGAGAAGGCCCTCCTAGCGGCGGAAAAGAGCATCGTCGCTGTAGGTGCCTCTCGAGGTGACCCCCGCGCCCCCATCTTTGAGGGGTGTTCTCCTTCCCCTCTCTTGCCCTCT